GCAGGCAAGGCAAGGGAGAGCTTGTCAGTCGTAGCAAGTAGCTTCGCCTCTTGGTTCAGCAGCCTTTCATGGACTTCGGTGAGGCTGGGAGGGTTGTCTTTGCTCTCAATTTGGTCGATAACTGGTTTGTAGTCATCGCTAAGACCAGCGAGAATGAGCTCCACTTGATCTTCATGATCAAATGGTTTACCAAGAACAGCAAGTTGATCAAACCTCGTGATGAGTCCCTGCATATATTCATCAATCGTCTTTGATCCTTTGTTGTAGTTTTTGATTTGCGTTTTCAACTGCTTGATGTGGCCACGGCTTGGTTTGGCGTACGTGCCGGCCAGCTTTTCCCAGATCTGTGAAGCCGTGATGGCCCGAGAGACAACAGGTTGCACAGTAACAGAGATAGCACCAATCAAACCACTGTAAATCAACTTATCTTGGCGATGGTAGCGGATGAAGGCTGGATTCTGAGTGACTTCATTGGCGACAGTGATTGTGGCGGGCGGAACAGCAACGGATCCGTCAAGGTGACCGGCGAGGCCATAGCCATCAAGGAGCGCATGGACCTGTTGGTTCCACATCATGTAGTTCGTGCCAGTGAGTTTGGTCACGTTGGACATGTTAACATGCAGAACAGAGTTGGAAGCAATAGCGATTAGATTGACTTCATTGTTGGTGTTTGACATTGTGTTTGAACAGAAAGGAAGAAGATGACGGCTGAAAAAAAAAAAAAAAAAAAAATTTAGGTTTTAAAGAGCGTTCTGCTCTGATACCATATAGATGTTTGTAGAAGTGATGATCTTATTACATTCTCAGAACTACAATATATATACAGGAGAGGGAGACCTAGGGTACACAAGTGTAATGAATGAGAGTATATACAACCTTACATATACGAACCCTTGACATACGCAATCATAGACAATCAAGGATATCAATCATATCCTTAATAAGATACTTTAGATCGAAAGATACAACAACCGCAAACTTTTTTTCTGTTTTGAATTAAAACAACCACAAACTTTTTAAGGAGCAATTCCGACCATACGTCGAGTCTTTCAAGAGAATAGTTTTGTGAACCTAGAATCTATATATATAATGGAAGAGTTTTCTCTTCTAGTAAGATGTCCATATCATCATGTTAATCATTCAATTGAACAAAGCCATGTCATTAATCAAAAATATTTATTTTTATATTAATGTCTAATTACAATGTTCATTTAATTCATATTTATTTATATTAATGTTAATTATGATTAATAAAAATTTTAATTAAATAAAAACGAAATAAATAAAATAAATGAAAATTTATAATCGTAAAAGTATTACTATAAATTTTTTATTAGTAAACATAATATAATTCAACTTTTATATAATAAGAGAGAAAACTCTCCTATCAAGATGTTCACATCATCATGTTAAACATCCAATTAAACAAAATCATGTCATTAGTCAATATTTTTTATTTTTACATTAAAGTCTAATTTTAATGTTCATTTTAATCCATATATTATTTATATTGATGTTAATTATAATTAACAGAAATTTTAATTAAATACAAACAAATTTAATAAAATAAATGAAATTGTAAAATAGTCAAAATAATACTATGAAATATTATGTTAAAAGAAAATTAATATATCCAGACATTCAAAAACATTAAAAAAAAATTAAAAATGATCATACTTCTAATTTTTGAATGTGCTAATGAGTTTTAGTATGAAAGTGAAATTTAAATGCATGGTTGTGTAGAAAAAGATTTATGTAACTGTGTTTGTAAAACAGTAAAGAAAAAATAAAATTTAAAGTGAAACATTAATTTGTAAGAGCAATATACTATTAAGAGTTTTTCTTTATTATTAAGTGTACACTTAAGAAAATTTACTAATTAAACCCAACTTAAGAATTTTAATTGAAGTCAAAGACATTGAAAGAGCTACAGTTTTTTGTAAACCTATAGAAAATTAGAAACAAATCTTAAAACTTCAAAAACATTATAATCTTTCTTTTAAAAAATTAAAAATAACAATGATTATATTATTCATGAGTTGTATAACAAAATATACATAAACATATGTAAGTTGTAAACAAAAAATAGTGATATGTAAAATTATGTTACATATATCTTAAATGGAACTACAACTATATAACATAATCAAATAGAAACATACGTTTGAGAATTTATCATTTAAATCAAATGTTTTTAACCCAACCAATTGGTGGAAACAACATATTTAATATATATATTATGTTTTTATCTAACAAGACGATGTTTAAGGTTGCATCACAAGATTAACATCTCAAAATAACAGAAAACAGTAAGCCAAATAGTCGTTTGAAATAAAAAAAAAAGCGGTAGGCTAAAGAGTGGTCTGAAAACACAATGATAGTATTATAGATGAAGATGTGGTAACATTATTTAAGTGTTGGATATGTATTCGTTTTGAAAAACAAAAATATATTTTTCATAGCTATTTTTAAGTGCATTTAAATATTAGATTGTGCAAATATAAAAAAGCAATACTTGGGTTCATTCCTAGGGGTTATTCACCCCCTTTTATTTTAACCAATCAGAATTCACCACATAAAAAAAAAACTAAATTCATTTAATTATTAAATCTAATCCCTAACCACTCTTTTATAAACCAAAACCGATATAATCTTAATTATAAAATCTAAACCCTAATTCTCCTTTGTAAACCCAAACCGCCTTTTAGACTCGTTTAATCGTAAGAAATCTAAATCATAATCGTACTTTCTAAACCCAAACAGACATTTAACCTCGTTTAATTGTGAAATCTAAATTCATTTATAAACCCAAACAGATATTTAACCTCATTTAATCATAAAATCTAAACCCTAATCGTACTTTCTAAACCCAAACCGATATTTAACCTCGTTTAATTGTAAAATTTTAATCCGTTTATAAACCCAAACCGATATTTAACCTCGTTTAATTTAATCATAAAATCTAAACTCCAGTCGTACTTTCTAAACCCAAACCGATATTTAACCTCGTTTAATCATAAAATCTAAACTCTAACCCTTTCTAATAAACTCAAACCGATACATAATTTTGTTTTAGTGGCAAATTAGATTTTCTAATTAAATGAATTTTTTTATTATTATTAGGTGGCAGATTCTGATTGGCTGAAATAAAGAGGGTGACTATAAGGGTTCAATCCAAGTATTTTTTTAATATAAAATATCAATTATACATTTTCAAATGAAATAAAACATAGATATTAGTCAAATTTTCAATATTTAGATTTATTTTCCACTGTTATGATTATAAATATTTGATCTTTATAAGAAAAATAATATATTATACTAAATCCAAGCAACGCGTGAATTATTTTTTAACGTGAATAGTAAGAATTTTTGGGTTTATCTTAATCATCAGTCGAAAAAAATTTAGATCATCTCTTTGTTTTTTATTTTTCATCAAACGTCATTTATATTAAGTTATCGGAAAGAGATTTTCCGTTAGGAAAAGCCAATCATGAACCGATGTGCTTACATGGGAGAAAAGGCTATTACGAGCCTGAGCTTTTTTGGCTAAACAATCAGCCCGACAATTAAACTTACGAGGAATATATCTAATGCTAAAAGAGGGGAAAAACAAATTAGAAATCGAAACGAGGCCATCTCTGCTGCAAAAATAAGCCACTCATCTTGGTTATCAATGAGGAAGACCAAATCAGAGCAATCGGAGGCGAAGGCACCAGAGAAGTCACCAATCGAGATCATGTATTCCATCGCCTATAACAGGGAGTCGACTTCCGCATGGAACGGTGAAAAGCTCCTTCTGGCGCTCTTAAGGATCATCTCTTTGTTTACTACCAAACATTTAATAGTTTTCTTCTTTTTATTTCGATAAAAAAGAATTATAATAAGGGAGACTCACAAAAATGCCCATTTTTTAATACCCTTTTTCAAAAATGCCCCCTTTGGCTGTCCATTTATAAGATATTATAAGATTTTGAAAGCTATTTTATAAGGTTTTTACAAGTTATAAGGTTTTACAAGTTTTTTATAAGCTTTTACAAGTTATAAATACCTTATAAAACCTTATAAGTACTTTGTAAAACCTTTTAAAATACATTGTAAAACCTTACAAAACACTTGTAAATACTCTGTAAAACCTTTAAAATACCTTGTAAATTTTTCCCGCCAAAAAATTTCGCAAAAAAATTGCGGAATCACTTTTCCCGCAAAAAAAAATTTTTGGCGGGAAAATTTTTTGGCGGGAAAAATTTATACGGGAAAATTTTACAAGGTTTTTTAAAGGTTTTTACAATTGTTTTGGCGGGAAAATTGCGGGATCACTTTTCCCGCCAAAAAATATTTTGTATTTTGTGGACCTAATTTTGTTTCAAATAAGAGTAAAATGGTCATTAAAAATTAAAAGAGGGCAAACTTAAAAATGGACTCTCAAAGGGGGCATTTTTGAAAAGGGATATTGAAAAATGGACATTTTTAACAATTTCTCTTATAATATTAAACACCTTATTTGACAAGAAATGTGGAGACCACTCAATGGATCGGGCTCTCCGTATCCAATGTATTTTGTCAATATTGAGAAATGTTGAAGAGGAGTTTTAGAAGCATTTGCCTTCTATATATTTTCGCCTTAAAAATATATGTGGAACAAAAACTAGCAAAGATAAACTACACAAACTAAAATCTTCCATCTAACAACCACAAAAAAAAAAAAAATTAACACGATTTTAATTAGGTGCACCAGTAAACCTAAACGATTTTTGTTAAAAATAAAGTGTTTTAACAACGTATCATCGAATTTATGTCAGAGTTTTAAATTTTTTATAGGTGTTGTGTTTTTACTGGTTTTAAATATCTTTTTTTATGTCTATCATTCTAGGATGTTTTTAGGCATAAGTATCGCAGACGTTCTTGATCATTCATATTTGCACATATCAAAATTTATTTCTAGATGTGGAACCTTCAACTCCACAATATTTGAGCAATCATCCGTAAAATCTCAAATTTATCAAATATGTATCACTATAAAAAAAAATTATTTAACTAGTAGACTTTTTCATCATGATTAAAATGTAAGCGGTTTGAGTATACCGAAACAGAGCGAGCATTTATCCATTTCAAAAAAAATATATATATATATATGGCAATCTCTTTGTTCTGTCTTCTTCTCATCGCCTTTGCGTCGTTAATCCTTCTTGGTAAGAAGATCAAACGCTCTAAATGGAATCTTCCTCCAAGCCCTCCAAAGTTTCCAGTCATCGGAAACTTACATCAACTTGGAGAATTGCCTCACAGGTCACTTCAACGTCTAGCCGAAAGAACCGGACATGTTATGCTTCTTCACTTAGGGTTTGTCCCTGTAACTGTTATCTCATCGAAAGAAGCAGCTGAAGAAGTGCTTAGAACTCATGACCTAGACTGTTGCAGCAGGCCTAAGCTTGTTGGGACGAGGCTAATTTCTCGGGGTTTTAAAGATGTCGGTTTTACCCCATACGGTGAAGAGTGGAAGGAGCGGCGCAAGTTCTTGGTGCGTGAGTTTTTCTGTTTGAAGAAGGTTCAGTCTTTCGGGTATATCAGAGAGGAAGAATGTAACTTTCTTGTCAAGAAACTGTCGGAATCAGCAGTGGATCGAACTCCAGTCGATATGAGCAAAACCCTTTTCTGGCTAACCGCCAGTATCCTGTTTAGAGTTGCTTCTGGACAGAGTTTCCACGAGAGTAAGTTTATCGATAAAGACAAGGTCGATGAGCTTGTGTTTGAAGCCGAGACAGCTCAGGCTAGTTTCACTTGCTCTGATTTCTTCCCCATTGCCGGACTTGGATGGATCGTTGACTGTATTTCCGGGCAACACAAGAGGCTCAAAGATGTTTTCTTCAAGCTGGATGCTCTGTTTCAAGGTGTGATCGATGATCATTTACATCCGGGCAGAAGATCTGAAGATCACAGAGATATTGTCGATATAATGTTGGATGTGATGCATAAACAAGGCAAAGATATTTCCTTGAAGCTCACAATCAATAACATCAAGGGAATTCTAACGGTAAATAATAGCAAAACTTGTTTCAACACATTTTTTTTTTTTTTTTTTTGATAACTCAGGTTATCCTTAAGGCTTTCTAGGCCCAACACATTTGCATAGAAACAGAATCTGGATATTTAACTTAGTTTCCGCGTGTTTGCTAGAATCTATTTCTCGGAGGGATAGACACAGGAGCTCTTACCATGATATGGGCAATGACGGAGCTCACTAGAAACCCGGAAGTGATGAAGAAAGTTCAAGGCGAGATTCGAGACCGCCTTGGCAGAAATAAGGAGAGAATCACCGAAGAAGATATCAATAAAGTTCCTTACTTGAACCTAGTGATCAAGGAAACATTCAGATTACACCATCCAGTTCCTCTTCTTCTCCCAAGGGAAACAATGGCTCACATCAAGGTTCAAGGCTATAATATTCCTCCGAAGACACGGATCTTGGTCAACGCTTGGGCGATAGGAAGAGATCCTAAAGTTTGGACAAACCCGGAAGAGTTTAACCCCGAGAGGTTTATCAATAGCCCTTTGGATTACAGTGGACAACATTTTGAGCTATTACCGTTCGGCTCTGGTCGAAGGGTATGTCCCGGGATGGCGATGGGGATGGCTACTGTGGAATTGGGACTCTTGAACTTACTTTACTTCTTCGATTGGAAGTTGCCTGATGGGATGACACATAAAGATATCGATACTGAAGAAGCTGGTACTCTTACAATCGTCAAGAAAGTTCCTCTAAAGCTTGTTCCAGTTCGAGTTCAGTGATCAGACCAACTCCAAACTTTGAAGATGTTTGAATAAAAATATTATGCAAATCCTGTAAGCTTATCTGATAACTAAATAATGTATGACGAATAATTTTCTGTAAGACTTTTTGTTAAAATTTTGATGCGATTTGTTGGCTTGGACAGCCTCGGCCTAACAATTTTAAAGGCATTAGTGCATTTTTTTTTTGCTTTGTGACTTACTATATTATTTGAAACATTATTTTGTTGGATCCTAATTTAAACTACAAAGGATGAAATGTTTTCTTATAAAATTAGTTTTGGTCCCTGTTTTATGGTTTTTCTTCAAAAATGAGCCTTTTGTTATAAACCATATAGATGGACTCCATAACCGGTCCATGGCCCATTAGGGTTTTACCTTATTCTCTGTATCCTGCTATTATCCTTGTATATATATCCCCTATCCTATTAATGAAAGACACAGTTCACAACACGTTATCAGCACGATAGCCTCTTACCCTAAAAATTAAAAAAAAAATCCTGAAACCCTAAATCTCTCTCACAAAAACCAAAACCAAAACCCTAGCTGTCTCTGCAAACAAAATTTTAAACTCTATCGAGATAAGTTTTCTGTTCATATTTGTTTCTGCACGAATTTTGCACGGATTATCTGTTATCAATCCTGTCTGTATTTCTGCACGAACTTTGCACAGATGATCTGTTATCTATTCTGTCTGTAGTTTTGCACGAATTTTGCACGGATTATATGTTATCAATTTTGTCTGTATTTCTGCACGAATTTTGCACAGATTATCTATTATCAATTCTGGCTGTAGTTTTACACGCTGTTGAACTAATACGCATTCGGCCATCTAGTGAGCATAGATATTCCCCATCCCAATTGCTAACGGATCATGAGCCAGACGTTTCCCATCTAAAGACATTTGGGTGTGTCACCTATTTACCCATAGCACCACCACAGAGAGCAAATGATGGGACCTCAAAAGGGGATGGGAATATACGTTAAAAATGATTCTCCCACCATCATTAAGTATCTCGAGCCAAAGGCCAGATACAAGGATTGTCATCTCAATGAATCCGTTTTCCCAACACTGGGTGGAGAGACTAACAAGCTGGTCAAAGAACTTATATGGAATCAAACATCCTTCACATGGCAAGATCCTCGGACTCCATCAGAGATCCAAAAGACTATATATCTGCAAAAGCTAGCTAAAATAGTTGCCAAGATTCCTATAATGACCCAAAGAGAGTAACAAAATCGTACATACCAGCTTGTAATGCACCAGTACGTATTGATGTTCACAAGGAACACAATCAAGTTGCTACAGAGGCTACAACACGTAAGAAACGTGGTAGACCCAAAAGGTTCCAAAGACAAGAACCTTCGGAAATCAAAGAAAGGTGCAAGGGAAACCGAGAAGGTTCAAGAAACCATAGACATGGCCAGCTAATAGACATAACCCTAAGGTACCAATCAATGAGGTTTGGGACGCCAAACCTCAAGGTCCTGAAGGTGTAAAGAGATCTCTATAAACTATATCATGTCTAGAATACAATGGAACCGAAAAAATGTCGACATAAATGATAATATATTTGCGCACAAGGTAGCAACTGAAATGAATGAGGATCAGGAGCCCACGTCTATACTAGAGTGCACTCAAAGACCTGATTGATTAAAATGGCACAAGACCATAAAACGTGGAGCTAAGAATCATTAAGAAGAAGAATGTGTTTGGTTCAATATGAAGGACACCATTCAATGTAAAGCCAGTAGGACAAATGAGTCTTTGTGATTATGTGAAATAAACATAGTGAAAGCGTGATATATCAGACACGGCTTGTCGCACAAGGATTCACACAAAGACCAGATATAGAGGAGATATACTCCCCTGTGGTGGATGCTAAGACATTTAAATTTTTGCTAAGTCTGGCTATATAAAAGAGAAAGATTTGCGGCTAATGGATGTAATGCCTGCATATTTATATAAGTCCACTGGATAATATATGAGATTACCAGAGGGTATTGAGCTCAAAGATAAGAAAGATTTTCGAGAACAGCACTGCATAAGGCTGGACAAATCCTTATATGGACTGAAACAAAGCGGACGTATGTGGTATAACCGGTTAAGCGAATATCTCATCAGAGAAGGCTATAAAAACGATCCGATCAGTCCATGTATTTTTATCAAAAAGTTTGCAAACAAAGGATTTGTAATCATAGCAGTGTATATGAATGATTTAAACCTCTGGATAATCGCCCAAACAGTTGAGTATATCTAAAGAAAGAATCTCAAATGAAAGACCTAGGCAATAATTAAGTTCTGTTTGGGATTACAACCTGAGTACGTGAATAATGGAATCCTTGTGCATCAAATGGCATACACTGAAAGAGTACTCAAGGAAATTTAATAAGGACCAGGCCCGCCCATTGACCAGGCCCAATGGTGGTGAGAAGCCTCAAATTGGATAGTGATCCATTCAGTCCGGAAATGCCATACCTCAGTGCCATAGGAGTTCTAATGAATTTGGCTAGACACACTAGACCAAACATTTGTTTTGCCGTGAGTCTCCTGTCTAAATTTAGTTCATGATCAACCCAAAGGCACTGGAAAAGTTTAAAGGAAGGTTTGGTTAAATTTTAAAATTTATTCTTCCTGCGTTGTTTACTTGGATTTATTCTATACTGATCTAACCAAAGAAGGTCCAGTTTGCTTTGGTTTAGTTTGATTTGCTGATGTAGGTTATTCATAAGATCAGATTATGGCATGGTCAATGAATAGGAACTACGTGTGGCTTGATCCCTTCCAAGGGTACGTAGGCAGCCTTCCTTAAGGCGCAGCTACTACTACATCAAAGACCATCATATTTGAAGACAACGCAGCCTGTATTGCTCAACTCAAGGACGGCTACACTAAGAGAGACCGGACGAAGCACATTTTGCCAAAGCTCTTATTCACTCATGAATTACAGAAGGACGGTCAGGTCAAAGTTCAACAGATCCGGTCAAGTGAGAATTCAGCCGACCTATTCACCAAATCATTGCCGACTTCAACGTTCCGGAAGCTCATTCATCAGATCGGGATGCGCGGACTTAAGGATTTACAGTGATGCTCAAATCAGGGGGAGTAATGTGTGTTGTACTCTTTTTCCTTCACCATGGTTTTGTCCCACTGGGTTTTCCTGGTAAGGTTTTAATGAGGCAACATTCCCCAGCGCATTATAGAGATCCCGGTTTAGTATCGGGCACAGTTATGTCTTCCAAGGGGGAGTGTTATAAACCATATAGATGGACTCCATAACCGGTCCATGGCCCATTAGGGTTTTACCTTATTCTCTGTATCCTGCTATTATCCTTGTATATATATCCCCTATCCTATTAATGAAAGACACAGTTCACAACACCTTTTTAGTTGATTATGTGCTTTTGCACAAAAAAGTTGATTATGTGCTTTAACCCACGTACTTATGTCCACCTCTTTTGGGTTGGAAATTCTTATGGGTTCGGATCTGATTCGTCTAAGAAATGTTGGTAAGATTTATTTTTCATCGGTCTTTTAAGATCGTCAAAACACCGTCTACACATTCAAAACAACTGTTAACTTTTGAGTCGTGTATGTAACACAGTATTGTTAAACTATTTTTCCGATCCGCTAAAAGAATGTTTATAAGCCTCAAATATCGATTAGGTCCAAAAATACAACAAAAACTAGTTCATAATAACTAGCAGTTTTGACCGTACTCCGTGTCTTTCCAAAAGGTACAATTTCCTCTAAGCTAAACCTGAAAACAAGTACTCAACCTCCCTCCCAAAAAATATCCTTGAAACCAAGTGATCAGATATCACCACTTGCTGCCAAATAGCTCAATATCGAAATAGCTCAGTACTTGTGTGGATCTCATAGAGGGGAATTTAAGAAGCATATTTGCCTTCTATTTTCCTCTTAAAATATGTGTGGAAGAAAAACTAGCAAAGAGACTGTACTACTACAACCACACAAAGCATCAACTATAAATCTTTTTATCTTAAAACCATAAATACACGATTTAATTGTGGTGGTCGAAGACTCCAACTGTTTCGTACAAACTGAGCAACCCATCCGGAAGATCCAAAATCTACCGAGCAGATAGTTGTGAAGTTTCTTCTTTTTTTTTCCAATTTCCAATGAATATCAAAAACTAAAAAAAAAAATCAGTATTAAATTTGGTCCTCAAGCAAAAAATTTCATTTATATCTTCTAGACATAATATTGATCACTTACATAATTTTTCTCGAATGGGGAAATGGTAAAATTGTTTTAACATAGTTATCCGTAGGCAAAATTCAGTACACTTTTGTAAAATTGCATATATTGTTCCCATTAAAAGAACTCATCTTCATAAAACTATTTAGAATGAGATTGAAAAAAGCTCATATTAATCCAAATAAAATGTTTTTTTTTTAATTATTATTATAAAATTTTAGAATGAGTGTGAAGCAGTTTTTGACTATCTATCCTTATATCCTTTTTCTTCAATGATCATTGGATCCATCTAAAATATAAAATAAATAAATAATTACATCAATTTGTATTGCCGCTTTAAACTATTACCATACTATAAGAAAATGAAGAAAAAAAACAACTATTAACATACTGAAACAGAGCAATGCTAATAATCCCATTTTGTCTCAATAACCAAAAGAAGAACAAAATGGGTATCTCTTTGCTCTGTGTTTTTCTCATCACTTTAGTTTCGTTAATTTTTTTCGGCAAGAAGACCAAACGCTGCAAATGGAATCTTCCACCAAGCCCTCCTAAGTTTCCGGTCATAGGAAACTTACATCAACTTGGAGAATTGCCTCACAGATCACTTCAACGTCTCGCCGCAAGAACCGGACATGTGATGCTTCTTCACTTAGGGTTTGTCCCTGTAACTGTGATCTCATCGAAAGAAGCAGCTGAAGAAGTGCTTAGAACTCATGACCTAGACTGTTGCAGCAGGCCTAACCTTCTCGGGTCGAGGCTAATCTCTCGGGGTTTTAAAGATATCAATTTTACTCCATACGGTAAAGAGTGGAAGGAGCGACGTAAGTTCTTGGTGCGTGAGCTTTTCTGTTCTAAAAAGGTTGAGTCTTTTGGATATATCAAAGAAGAAGAATGTAACTTTCTGGTCAAGAAATTGTCAGAATCGGCAGTGGATC